CACTTTTTACCCCCTAAACCTCAGATGCTGAAGTCAAACTTCCTGTTGTCTGTAAAGACTAATGAGGCAAATATTAAGAAAATTAAGTTTGAAATTTTCAGTATTCTTTGATTTAATTGTGGAAAGAGAATTAGCTTTAGTTTTATTTTTCTGAATTTTCTTTTCATTTTAAAGTCAAACATTGAATAAAGGAGTTCTTTTTAAATTTAATCTCTTCTTTGTCAGGTTTTAGGTGTTCTAAATGGAACATAAACCATAATTTGGAAAATAAAATTAGTATAATAAGAATAATTTGCTTTTGTTTAAATAAATATTAACAGAAATTGGCTCTTGATCTGGACTAAGTGTGGAAATTTCTCCCCCTTGTGAATTCGACCCCCCTGTGTTACAGTGTTACATTTTGACAGTAGTTTAGAGTCTGATTAGTTTAAATGTTGTAATTTATTGCACTGACCTTTGTCACCAAGCCGTTTCACACAAATAGACATATTTCATATTGTTGGTGTTTTAGCTACAGCAGAGAAGCAGCTCTATGTTTTCCTGCCATCCTCCGTCAGACACAGATGAAGCTGAATTGTTAGAATTCAGATCATGGAAACAGCTCTATGATGGAGAGACTGAAGGAAGATAGAACAAAAAAGCCATTTGTAATTTTGTGAAAATAAACTTGAGTACAGTTATTTTATAAACACTAGAAAAATTGTCATTACTAGTTTTTGTTCTGTTGTTGCCAGTTTGTAAAATCAACCTGTAGAGTGTTGAATATTAAACATCTGTATCAGACGGAAAAAATCTGATTTAAAATAGACAAATATGCACAATGTACAAGATGTGTCTGTAATGTTACATTATTAGGACAGCCACTGATTCCGTGCACCAGACAAGGTGCCCTCTTTTTCGATTTGAGCACCTGCCCTGAAAATGTCTGTGCATGCTACTGATTCTTTTCCCTACTTTCACTCCAAACTCTGGTATGATGAATGCTGCCCCGATTCGAACTGCTATATCCTTTGAGGCATCTGTATATATTTTTATGTATCCATAGTATTGATTTATATATTCTATACATGTACAGCGGGTAAAATAAGTATTGAACACGTCACCATTTTTCTCAGTAAATATATTACTAGAGGTGCTAATGACATGAAATTTTCACC